CGACTCGAGGCCGTCGGTGCCGGCGTTTTCTACCTTCGCGAGACATCGATCCGTTTATACCGAGTTAAAACGAGTAGACGTAATTCCAATTCCTGCAGGTCATGCAGTTGAAACGTTTTGTCAGGCATTCGAAGGAAAAAATATTTGCAGGCGAGTCAAAATTCTATGCTATAATGTCGCGAGGTAGTTCATAAACTTTGTAAGAAACAGTGGCCATCGGTTATTCTTGCCGAAAGTCACGAGATGATCGATCGAAGCGAGAACGAGACAGCGTACGAAAAGAGCCGTGAAAAAGGGGGATCGTTAGCGAATTTACGAGCGGCGTATTCGCGCGTGCACGCTCATCGCCTTCTCCGTTTCCGCTCGTCCCGTCGGTCTAGACGCGGTTCTCGCGCTAGCACCCGTTGTTCTAACACGCCGTTTCTCCTTCCGCCTCTCTTCTTTCTTCCTTTTTTGCATTCGTCACGCCAGACACGCGCAACAATCCGACACCTTCTGGTCCCTCCGACGAGCTCCCCGTCTTTACCAACAAACTCCCCATTCTTTACAGGAGACAACTCATCCATTGGGCTCGCGAAAAGTAATTGTCGGTGGACGCGAGGGAGCTCGACAAAAGCGAGAGGAGCAGAATGTCCCCGGTCGGGAAATCGGAGCATCGATTTCGACCGATTCGAGCGATCGTTGCCAGCTACCTAGGCTGCGGAAAGGTTCGTGCGGACCGGGACGCAGCGCGGTGCGGAGCGGCGTAACCCGGTTCCCGAGGTGTGCGCGGAAGGAACGATTCCAGTCGGCTAGCGCGAACTGGGTCACCGTTCGCCGGGTGGGGAAGCGAGGCGCTTGCAAACAGGAGAGAAGAAAGGGAGGGTGAAACGCGGAGGGTGGGTGCAGGATAGCGGGCGAGGGCGGAAGGGCGGATAACGCGGAGCGCTGTCGTCGCTGATGGTCCTCGGATGATTCTTCTCGTGGACCCTACAGATATTTCCTAACGAGATCTGATCCCATATGGATCCAGGACAAAGCGGTTAACCGCGTTGTCTATCTCTGAAAGGGTTTCTAACGATGTCCTTGCTAGAAGCGTCTGGTGCGCTGGTGCGTTGGAGCGCTGGCACGCTGCTAACAGACGCGGCGACGTCAGCGTTCGATAGTGGGTGGTCGCGCGCATGCCGTCCTTCCTCTCCCCTCTCGTGCCTCTCTCTCTCTCCGTCAGCGGTAGTAGCTTCGTTACAGGGTCGTCGCGCGTTGCAGTTTACCGTATTTTATTACATAAGTTGCGAGCTTCTCCGATGCACCGAATCGATACGAACTTGGTTCGTTGTCGAGTTTCAGCCGCACGAAAAATGCTTACTCGTAGCAGCTGCTCGAGAAATCCTCGATCGGATTAGTCGAGTAAATCATTTATCCGATTAGGAATTCGTAAAGAATCGCGACCGGATTCGCGTAGACTCGCAGAAGCGCTTCGGAAGCCCGGTTATGACCCGGTGCATCGATTTCGAGATCGAGAAGGACAACACGATTTCGAGAGGAGCGTACGACGTCGGAGCTCCTCGCGAAAAATCTATATCGCGCGAAAGCGGAGTGACCTATAAACCTCGTAGCGGGTCGGGTCAGTCCGCACCGGCGCGGTGGCGCGGCAGCGCGGCGGCGCAGTCCCGAATTCGAATTGAAGGGATCTTAAATTGGGTTAACGTCCAGATATTCGACGTAACGTCGGAATTAGTTGAAAAACTTTGCTCGCTATTCCTCGGACTAATACGGAACTTAGTCGACGCGTGCCACGTCAGAAGCTGGTATTTCGATCCACGACGATTATCCGACCTTTATTTTTCACGCCTACTTTTACCGCTGCTATCGACCGATTTGGCTAATCGCCGTTTATCAATTTTCCAGCACGCTATACCAGATGCCACGTGTCTCCGCCTACGTTCTTCGATACGCCATACGCGTACGCCTAGGTACACGCGCGCATACGGAACGATTCCCCGCGACACCACGCGTTTTCCGATATTCGAGATCGTTCCGCTACGAGCGGTTCTCTGGCACGCGCGACCAGCCTTTTCGTTTCGTCAGAATCGCACGAGTTTCGTAACGAAATACCTCGACGGCGCTGCGTAACGTCGCTGCGTCAAGGTAACGTCAATAAAAATCTTTATCCTCGCGCGCCTCCGATGTTTTTCGAACCGTCTTCGAACGAGGTTACCGTAACCTCGCGAGCAGATCCATCGTAAAAATCGAAACGCTACCGCGTCTCGTAAATCGAGCGATAACGAAAGTCTGCGATAAAACGCGTGATCGAGCGCTCGCAACGGGACGCGCGATCGGTTCGTCGCGAACTAACTACGCATGCTCCGATTCCAAGGTAATCGACGATCGAATTATATATCGCGGCCCAGTGCCAATCATTTTCTCCCGCCAATTTCTCGCTCTCGATCGATCGTTCTTCCCGGGATGCGTTAATTTCATGGTAATTTGTGGCTGCAACGTAGGTATTTTTACCTACGAAGCTCGATATTTTCCTTCTACCAATTTCGAACGATTTATGAGAATAACCTCGAAACCTTGGTACTCGTTTAGCCGCGTTTCTTCGCGCACGCGCACGCGCTTCATCGACGTTATCGTTCCGCGTACACTTACGCGTGTACTTTTCGATGGAAAATTGCTAGACAAAATTGCGCGACGTTTCGTCGCATTTACTTTGTTTCTTCAAACGAACCGATAATTTTTGATATGCGAGAGGTAAATGGGTTTGGAGCGAGTCGCATAAACGAGGTGCGAGAATCCGCCATTTCTCTCGGATAGTATGCTGGTCTATTTTTGACGAGCGGTTAAAATAGCCGAGCTTAAAGTTCTGCTAGACACTGTTAGCTCCTGAAGCTGCCACCGCGTACGAAAGGAATTGGGTCAGGCGTCGAAACAAGCGTATCGGAAAAGGTTTCCTAGTTTCGATCGAATCGCGATATTCGATCTGCACCGATACCGATACTCCGAGGCCCGCGCCTTACTCCGCGTATTCGCTGGAAATTCGATCGGTAAAAGCAGGGGATTCGGAAAAGCTTTCGCTGAGCAACGACGCCGAAACGACCGTTGTACGTCTAAATTTAAACTTACGAAAGTCTCGTACGATTGCATAACCTGGCGCGCGTGTACCGAGACCGCGGAAGTCTCTTCGATCTCGGAGGATATCGGTAAACACGGAAATTCCGCGAGAACAAAGTTAAAATCGAAGTCTTCCGATGATTTCGGTCCGATCGAGAAACTCGTTCGCCTACGTGGCAACGAAGGTCGATTCGACGGATCGAATTCTCGCGTTGTGGCGTTAATAAGCGTCGAGGATAAGCTTACCTGCTGAAACGGTGGCAATTGGAGCAAGTCCCTCTCTTCGGCGGCGGTAACTTCGAAGGTAGGCGCGGGCTGGGGCGGGTACATGTTGCCCTTTCCGGGATAGGAGGTACTCCTCCGAAACTTGACCGGACTGATGCAAGACGGATGAGCCGCCTGGCCCGGGTGACCGGGAAACGTCGGACTCGGTTTCCTTCCTTGAAGTCCAGCGGCAGCCGCGACCGCGGCAGCGGCGTGCA